GAGCGGCCAGAAGCCGGCTGCGGCCGGCCTGGGGACAGTGATCCCGCGGGTGGGGACAGAGAACCCTAAGGGAAAGTGAGAGCAGGAGTTTGATGGTGAGCGCAGGGAGCCTCACTCGCGGCTTTTACGCAGACTCCGGTCTCGGTTTCTTCTGGGCAGGCGGGGGCGAGTGTCCCGTCCGCTCTAGGGGACCAGCCAAGGCCACTGACCCTTAAGACTGCCGGAGTGCTCAGCACCTGTCCAGGGCTCCAGGGGAGGCTGTGGTCATGGTGAGCGAAAGCCCCACCCAGGAGGAGCGCGATGGCACCCCTGCACCGGAGTCCGCACCGCAGGCGGACCCCAGCGTCTCTAACCACCCCAGTGTGTCGGCCCATCCCAGCGTCTCGGCCCACCCCAGCGTCTCCATCCACCCCAGCGTCTCTGCCTACCCCAGCAGTTCGGCCCATCCCAGTACCGTGGCCCAACCCAGTGGCTTGGCCCAACCCAGTGGCTCGGGCCCCGAGGACCTCAGCGTGATCAAGGTGAGCCGGCGCCGCTGGGCCGTGGTCCTGGTGTTTAGCTGCTACTCCATGTGCAACGCCTTTCAATGGATCCAGTACGGCTCCATCAATAACATCTTCATGAACTTCTACGGAGTCAGTGCCTTTGCCATCGACTGGCTGTCCATGTGCTACATGCTGACCTACATCCCTCTGCTCCTGCCGGTGGCCTGGCTGCTGGAGAAATTCGGCCTGCGCACCATCGCCCTCACCGGCTCGGCTCTCAACTGCCTGGGGGCCTGGGTGAAGCTGGGCAGTCTGCAGCCGCACCTCTTCCCCGTCACCGTGCTGGGCCAGGTCATCTGCTCCGTGGCCCAGGTCTTCATCCTGGGCATGCCCTCTCGTATCGCTTCCGTTTGGTTCGGTGCTAATGAGGTTTCAACAGCCTGTTCCATGGCTGTCTTCGGCAATCAGGTGGGTAGAGAAGTTTGTGGATGTTCTGAGGAGTGGGCATCTTATCATCTGGGACTGTGTGTTAGATTGCACCAAACTGCGGGAGGCTGTAATTTTGACTGTTCAACAGCGTTTGTGACTCTGGGTGACTGTGGCTGGGTGTGACTGACAGTGTGATTGGGTGATTGTGACTGGGTGACACTGTAAGAGAAATGGGAAACAAAAGCAGGTGGCTTTTTCCTTCATCTACCATTTCTCCTCCCCCAGCAGAAAGCATGCTTCTAGAACATACTCTGCTTTGATGGTGCCATTCCTGAGCCTGTGTCAGTCCACCGACTTAGACCTGTGACTTCAGGAATGCTATTCTTTCTCTGGGAGCAGTCCCAGGGTATCAGACTATTGTGGTGTCATCAGAATTTGGCAGGTGTTTTTAGCTGGACCGACAGCTTTCCTAGAGTGCTGTCTCCTGTACTGCACAGAATTGCAGAGCCATGCCTGGTGGTGTGTGGCACTGTTCTTAACTTCTTTTTACACACAGCTGAAGCCAGGACAGTGGGAACAATGCTTTGTGCCAGATTTCTTCCCTGGGGTTTAGAGCCAAGTCCAGCAGGATGGAGTAGAAATCTCCAAGGCTTCGAAGGCTTCTGGTATAAGTAGCTCATTCTCTTAATACTTTCTGTTTCCTTCTTTTTGGAATGAGAATCCCAAATTCTTTGCATCTCAGTGTGGTTATGGTCCAGAAAGTTGGGCATGTCATGAATCTGATTACCTTCTCCAAATACAAGGGTACTTCAAAAGTTCATGGAAAGATTTCTATTATCTCTTATTTCTATTTTCCACCAACTTTTTGAAGTACCCATGTATTTGAAGCAAATGTTTATGGGGTCCATGTTTAGCCGAGTCACTACCTCCAGGTCTCACTTACACCCAAGCACATGCAGTCTTGGCTGTGTGTTTTAACAAATGACCAGCGACCCTTACTTCTCATAGGCCTATTTTCTCTTACCTGTTCATTCCATTTAGAAAATTTAAATTTTCACTTAGAAATTTTCTATTTTGGACAGAAACCTTCCAAAACTTCTCTAAGGGAAATTTCCATTCTGTTCATCTTTACCACCAAGAAGGTAACT